ATATATATATATATATATATATATATATTACACGGAGGGAGCATTTTCTGCAGGTACTAGCTTGAACTGGAATAGCTAATGGATTTATAAAAATAAATTGACTTACTGAATAGTTGAGATGAGTTATTTGAATGCACATTATTAATGAATCGTATCACTAGTTCTGTTGAAGCATGAAGTATATGATGTGGAAGTCTGGAATCAGGTTGTTAACAGGGTAATTTAATTTTCAAAGCTGTGTTAGCGCAGTGTGTGTCTATATTTGTACAAAAACTTTTTGAATTTGTACTTATTGGTAGTTGTTTGATACAGGACAATGAATTATATGTAGTTTTTGTTGGACTCTTATATGTAGGTGTGTATTCTTAATTTGCAACTTACAGAAAATGCAATGGGACATTTCATTAGATGTGAGAAGTCTTTTGCTTTGTTTCTTTTTTCTTTTTTTACTGTAATGGGTTGATTTCAGCAGTACTTCCCTGTCATGTATTTGGAATGTGTGATATTACGGGTAAAATGAATGCACATAACTGCAATCTGGATATTGTGATATGTCCCAGTAACACTTAACAATTAAAAAAACCCAACCCCGCTGTGATTATGACTTTTTTCTTCATTTACTCTCTAGGCAGCACAAATAGTCCTGATCTCTCTGTTCGAATTGAACACTCCTGAGTTTACCATGTTACTTGGTGCCTTGCCAAAAACATTCCAGGATGGTGCTACCAGATTATTACATAACCACCTCAAGAACTCCAGCAACACTAATGTGGTAAGATAAGATTATTTTTCTGTAAGAAATAAACAGCAAAAACAAAAATTTCTAAAGATAATCATTTCTTGATCACCCGTTAATTTCAGCAGAGTCATGCAAATCTGCAGTTTTGGCTTTACAGGGCAGAAGAGACACAGAGTTTAATAAAAGAGGTGCCATTGTTCTGAATGGATCCAAAAGGTGTATGTCTTTTTATAATCCTCCATTCTTAAGTTCAAGAATCTTGTGCTTTCATATAAAACTTGGCATTGCCTTGAATGTGGTGGATTGTGTGCCCTTTGTACACATAAAGTTCACCTTGAACTCTCATTAGCCTGCCAAATTCTAGGGGCATTTTTTGCTGCAATTGTAAAGGTGTTTTTAAAAATATATATTTAACTGCTTTGAGGACTTTCAAGAAATTATGCTTTAAAATAATTGTGCCATTACCCTGCATAGTTTGCTTTATCTGCATATTAGCTAAGATGCCATGATGCCAAGTGTGGGTCTTGGCAAAAGAAGAGGGAAAAGGAAAGATGAGAAAGTAGAGGTCCTGTGGCTTAAAGTTAAGAAAATATGATCTGTTGTTTATTAAGCTCAGATAGGAGCTTTAGTGGCTAAAAATAGGAGGAGGAAGATGTGCTGGATATGCTCACTGTCTTGATTGATTTCTAAAAATAATGAAGGTGGGAAATAAATAAAATAAAATACCCTGTTTCCAGTGAAGTGGTTCAATAGTGTTTGTCCCACACTATGATGATACAAAAATGATGACATACTCAATTATGTCATCATGCAAATGCCATTACTACAAGCTTTCATGTTTGTATCTGATGCAATTTAATAGGGTGATAATTATATGATGTCATGATGCATCAGTGGTGGGTTCCAGATTTGAACGGGCCTGGAGGCATCCACATGGACGTGTGCAGCGCGCGCATGTATCTTAGCGCCTCTGCAAGCTTCCACGACGCTCCAGCTGCTCAGTGGAGCATCACATAGGTGCTGTACACGCTGTGCGCGGAAGCACTGAAAGCTTAAAAGACTGGTAAGGAGGGCGGGCGGGTGGGCCCTCAGGTGCACCGGAACGGAACGGTATCTGGTGCTCCGGGCAGGCTCCGGTACGCCCATACCAAAGCGTACCGCTTGCAACCCACCACTGTGATGCATGTATTACCTTTTGCCCTCCTGTGGACAACCAGGAAGGAGGGACCATTGGGAGCCAATTTACAAAATATTCAGAAGAAATCCAAACCAGAAAATTCCAAAGCCAAACACTTTTGAAGCTGCTGGAAAGAACAGTAGAAAGTAGGTCCAGATGCATGAAGAAGGAGAAGGGAGATCTCACCTTCCCCTTCCTGCTGAACCTGAGAGTTCTTAATACATAGACAAAGGCCTAACATATCCAGCCAACACCTCTTACTTTGCTGCATTTCTTGAAAATATATATTTTCAAGAAGCCCCAAAGCGTTTCATTCTAGAATATTGCTGAGGCATCAATATGAAGAAAGAAAGAAAAAAAAAATCAGGCCTCCCTATAGTAATTATTTTGCTTCTGTCAGATAGAGAATGTGAATATTGATAAGCACCTTGTCTTATTTATCTTATAATATAAATAGGGCAATAGTGGGCAACTTCCAACTCTAGAAAATTCTTATTGAATAGTTTTAAAGCTAGGAAGCAATTGATACTTGGTTAATCGTCAGAGTTAAAATGTTGGTAGATACTGCTTAAGTCACAATTTAAATTAACTGAAGTAAAAGTCCCATACTTCATTTTACTTTTCCCTTTAATGTATGTTACATTATGTCATTTCTTTTCTTTTTTGTGTATTAGGGTTCCCCTAGTAATACTGTTGGCCGGACCCCTTCACGTCATCCTAGCAGCAGAACCAGCCCTTTAACTTCACCTACCAATTGTTCTCATGGAGGATTATCACCCAGGTAACACTGTAGCATAATTAAAGTATGAGTCCAATGTGTAAAAGCTTTCTATTTAAAATATGGCTAAAAACTCAATATAGATGCATATATAATAGACGTTCAATTCTGAAAATAGGGGAAGAAAAATTTTGCTTCGCTTAAGGAAAAAAAATACTGTACTTTCTTTAATAATAGTCTTTGAAAAAATACTAAATTTTACAGATGTCAAAAAGCTATGACATTTGTATCTACCGTTTTGTCCTGCACACATATAGATGTCAATATATTCAATTGAATATGTATTCTATTCATTTAAAGAAATTACTTTTACATTTGTTCTCATTTCCTTGACAGTCATATTTCAAGATCTAAAAAAGGAGAGGAGGAACTTGAAAATGCTTTATCGATAAACTGGAAAATATGATTTTCATTTCACTTGTTTGTAGTGTTCTTAAAATGTGCTGCCAAGAAAATCAAGAAAAATAATGTTCTGCCTAAAATGACTGTATAATGGTTGTGGTGGTATAATATGAAAAAGTTAGTTGATTAACATGCCCAAGTTGTTTTCCGGCTTCTGGTAGGAGATGAGTCTGGATGTATTAATTCCACAGAGTAATATAAAATATTTTGATGGGATGATGACAATAAAATTTGAGATAGAATCATTTTCTTCCAAAAGATAGTGTGAATAGACTTACTAAAGGGAGTAACTACATGTCTGTTCCCAGAACTTCTTTGGGGGAGGCATACACCAGAGAAGGAAGTGGCCCTTTCATTTATTTTGTCTCATAAATATAAATGGAGATATCTGCCCCTGTTTAGTAACATTTTTGTACTGATGGCAATATTACAAGAATGTTACTGATATTTCATTGTGAAATTATTTTTCTATTAGGATCCTTTCCACATACTATCAATTTTGAAGTAACAATTTTCTATTTATCCTGCTACTTAGCATATCAGGCTTTATTGTATTCTGTTGATTCAATATTTGTTCTGAAATGCAGTCCATAGTAAAAGTCTCTACTGAATATTATTGACTGAGAACATTATTTGCAGTTGTTTATAAACAATATTTATAAACAAAGGACAGTCAAGTGTTCTTTGTTTATAAATATTGAAAATATTAAGTTTCAAGTTGCTGGAGTGGAATTTGGCACATTAGCAGGTTTGCTACTCCAAGCAACTCATGAACTTTGATCAAAATAAATAGGATTAACAAAAGGTATCTTTGCTTTCTAAGCTTTTACTGTATTTACACCTGACTTTCTATTTGAAAATTGAAAGCACATCTCCTACTGTTGATGGAGTTTAATTCTATGCCCTGGTCCCCAACATAGCACCAGTGGATCATCTCCTTTATTTAGATTTTTTTAATTGAAAATAATGAATGAGAAGTGCATATCAGAGTCAGTGTAAACTGTATTCTCAGCAGTGTCTATAAGTGTTGCATAAAATGGCATATGGCTACAGAGCAATATTTATTTTATCCTCTGTGAATTGTGTGATTGGCTATATTCACTATGAACAATCATTTTGTGAAAATATCCTTAACATTCAATTTCCCTATTATTAGTATTTCTATATTGTCACTTTTCCAAATGAAAGATTGAAGACTTCTGGCATATTCAGATACAGGTTTTAAATACAAGGCATGCTTTAGTTAATTTAAGTTTACCAACATGTGCATAACAGATACGGAAAATGCAAAAAGTATTCTTTATCCTGTACAAATATGACCTTGGTGGCATTCCCCACCCCCTTTTTTTTGAAGATTTTTAAAATGTCTTGACATTTTCTTCTCTATAGTGTTTTCCAGCTCTGTGTATATCATACAACCTATTCTGTTCAGCCATTTTAGGTTATTTTTGTTCTACTGAACTTATTCTTTGACAAAATCAGGACAGTTTTGTTCTAATTATAGGGTCAGCTTTCCACAAATCAAGAAAATTGAATCTCTATAGAGATTTTCAGAAAAAAAATGATTATATACAGTATATTTAAAATAAATGTGTATATCTGTTTGTATATGTATGGACATGCATTGTAATATACACATAAAGACACATACATAAATATATTATACCCTTGGGTTTATTTTCCTTAAGGAAAAAAATTACATATATGTTTGATTTTATATTCTATTTCTGAACAAGCTTCTTGCTCCAAGCTATTTATTATATTTTTATTCATTGTCAATATTTTTAGTTTTCAATCATATTTTGCTGTTTTTGTTAAATTACTTTCTTTTTCAAGCTTTAGCCTATAATATTTGAGAAATGCTTCACTGTGATTTTTACATTTTTCTTTGATGTGCCTTTTTTATTTTGCACTCTAATTTTTTGTTCCTGCTTTTCAGAAACGTTGGAACAAAAAAACTATCCTTCAGAATTTAAACTATTTCCAAATATGAGTTGCAATGTTTTGACTCAATGAAACATAGTGATGAAACAAATGTCTTCCATTGCATCTGAGATGCATTTGGAGTTTAAACTAACATTTTGAAAGAATTAACCAGCAAATTGTATTTCTTTAGTTTGAAATGCTAAAATGCTGTTTCTCTCTCTCTCTCTCTCTCTCTCTCTCTCTTTTGTCAGAATGTTGTACTTTGGAGTTGCAGACTTGTCAATTTGTTTGGCTATACTAAGATAGTAAAGGAGAATTGATTATACTTTGTTCGTTAAAAATTCAGGTTTGCCTGTCTTTGGTTGCTTGCCCCACAGGATCACATTTGTAATGTTAGCCTTTCTCTCTCCAAATGCAAAATTATGTAAACATAACTTATTTTTGGCCTTGCTGTAAAACAATACCGGTAGGGTTTTGCAGAGATCTAGATTCAAAGAGTAAAAATTGTAGGCATCTATGCAACATCTATTGGAACCCTCTTCTTAATAACTCTTTCAGGGAAACATATTGATTTAAAATATATTCAACAGGTGCTGTATATGTGCCTATGCTCACTTTGAATTTTAAATTTTGCCCTTGGAATCCACAGGTCTTTGCACAGCTCTAAAGTACTGCAAAATTATTCTGATGTTTCATTTCATGACTTGCAGTGTTTTTTCATTTATTTCTACACCAATGTGATCTTTTGCTATAACGACGTACTGGAAGCTCAATAGAAACAAAATGACCAATTGAATACTCCAGCAGTTCTAGAAATAAATCCCAATATATGACATGGCTCATATTATAGAACTGCAATGATGACAATTCCAAATCTGGCCTTTTTCATCTTGGCAAATCTTTGCAATTGCTAATGAATATCTGGCATGGAGGTAGACTAAAAAGCTAACATGGATGCCCAAACTGTTTTACATTGGAGAGTCAGATCTGCACTGTTTAATTTTCCCTCCAGAATGTATGTTTCAATAATGGTTTGTGTATTTCCAGAAGTAGGCAACTCAGAATTGGAATTGGATTTGATATGTCCCCAAAATAGATGCAGTATGAGAGATTTTCTAAGGGTTTATCTTTATCTGATTTAGCCATTAGAGTAGTATTGGATAAAACTAGTCAACAGAATGTGGGCTGTAGGAAAAAGAAAGATTATTTCTGAGTTCTGGAAAGTGATTGTTAAGAAAAATGAATTAATAAATGGGGAGAAATAAGCAACCCTGTTTTAAACTATGGGTATAAATTATAAGTCTGAATGCTACTGTAGCTGCCTTGGGTTTTTCTGCTTTCAGTTTTCTATCAGGAGATTTAAAAACTCTGCAATCAGTTTCTTTGCTTGACAGTTGGGCTGCTAAAGATGAATGGGTTTTAAAGGTTAAGTATGATATAAAGTAGTGGAATCATATGCCCATAAGTATGATTACAAGAAGAAATTGTAGTATTTAATATTTAGTGCTGTTTCTGAGTATTTGGTTGTTGTTGATATTTAGTATATGGTGAGAAATCAAAATATAAGGCTAAGGAGAAAGATTTATTAAAAAACAGACCATGGAATATATTTTCAGCTTATGCATGTGTTTACCCAGACCCTTTTGGTCATCAGCATTTGTCTATTTGTGTTGTATCTTGAAATCGCATTTAATCTGGGATAATTGTTGCAGTGCATATTCTGCTCACCTTGACATATTAGGAAAAACTTTTTTTGCTGTAAAAACATTTTCTGACTCTATTGTGAAATAGGCAAATGGATATAGACAAGATATGCCCTAAAATTCCTTAGTGATTCCCATTAATATTGCAAGTATTAATGAATAGCAGGTATTTACCTGAAGCAAATCAATGGAGTATTCCTGTCCAATCTGTTTCTGTTAAGTTTTTCTCTAGTTGAGAAAGCAAGAAAAACAACAACACAGCACTCAGATTGTAGTTTTCTTTTTCCCTTTTTCTGTTTCTTCCCTCCTTTTCTCTTTTTTCTTCCTGTGATCACTGCAGTCGTTTCTGGGGTTGGAGTGCAGATGGGCTGTCGAAGCACCCCCCTCCCCTTTTTCAGCCTAACTCCATCCCCGCTGCTCCTTCTCACAAGACTTTCAGGCGCTCATACTCTCCCAGGTAACAAGCCACCTGTTATTCCAACCTGTCAGAGGTGTCACAATGTTATTTACCTTTTGGCTCAGATGAGTGCTTTCAAAGAGGCAGATCCAGGGGATGTGGAAAGAGGCAGCATTTTCCACCTTTGTAGTTTTTACCTGTGAAGAAATCCCATCAGTTACATTGTTTCCAAAGCTCCTATTCAAGCACCCAAAGAAATGTAACTGAGTATGAATGTTTCTATCTCTTTCTCTTTCTTTCTCTATTTCTCTCTCTCTTTCTCTC